AAATCAACATGCCAGTACAGAATCTACTTGAAAGTTGGAGCTTTGACTAGAATAAAGGTTTGGTGATTATAGTGCATGGGCCATTCTTTAATAACACAGGGGAAAGTTGATGGCTTATTGAGCAAGGAACATTTTATTGCTTGAAATTATGGCCATCTTAACAAATGCACATACTGTGATTGAATCAATATTCAATGGTGTTTTAGAAAACAGATGTGGTACATAATGATTTTTTTATTTTTCTTGGTTTGGAGCAAAATGCTCTTTAAATTCTAGATGCATCCAGCTGCCACATTTCCTGAATGCGGAGGGCGTAGGGAAGAAAGCAGGGATGGAGACACACCTCTGTTTTTGAATCTGATGGCTGGCAGAGTGGGTGGGAATGAAAGGCTGCATGCGCCAACCTTCAGGGGTAGGGCTGGAGGCTTGGTTGCCTTCTTAAAACTCTAAGGGGATTATTTATTTGATGCGTTTAAATGTAATTCCTTGTCATGCTTTTAAAATGTTCATTTCATTTCACTGAACATTTACCATTGATAAGACAATTGTCAGTGTGTCCCTGCTTTCCTTTTTCATACCAAGTACCCAAAGTCCTTTTTCTGTAACCCACAGGCTGCCCTTTAAAACTATACTGGGGGGCTTTTCAATTTCACAGGACAGCTTCCTCTAAAGGGGCCGTGGGCAGTTTGATTACATGTTTTCGTGAATCACAGGAAGTCACACAGCTCTTAAACTCTGACATTTAGTGAACAAAAGGCACCTACCAAGTAGGATCCTTTTGTTGTTTTTAAATCCACAGCTCTGTTTTGATTCTGCTACAGAAATGGCTGCTCTTAATCTCTTCATAGGTTCTAGAGCTATGAGGAAAGTTTATAAGTTGGCTACATGTATAAAATATCGCTGAATAGGCTTGTGTTGCCAAAGTGGCCACAGTTAAAGTAGGACAGGAGAGCATAAAGTGACGTTTCAGGGTGGGGGGGTGGAATTCCAGGGTTGAGTTAGCTTGGATCATCACCCAGCATTTAATTTAAATTTTCTCTCAGTAGAATTTTAATAGTGCACTTCCAGTTCAACAAAGCATGTGCCACCTGGAGACAGGAGCCAGGCTCAGGAGAGTTTCTGATGAAGGTGTTATAGTGCTTGCATTCCTATTACTGCTTTTGATGTGGTTTGAAGTGGTAGGGTTCAGAGCCAATGGCAAAGAAAGAATTTTTGAGATGTCTTTGGTGCAAAAAGGTGGTTTATTAAAGCACAGGGACAGGACCCGTGGGCAGAAGGACCTGCACTGGGGTTGTGAGGTATGACTGATTATATAAGATTTTCTATCCTGTGGAGGGGAGGGTGATGTTAGGGGTCCAGGAAATTGAGTCTGTAGGTTTCTGGAGATGCTTTTTTCATTGTAAATCATCAAGACAGTTGCAAACTGATGGAGACTCATGTCCTGCATGACTGTGATCTCTATCAGTTAACCATTTGTTTTTCCCTTTCCTTTGTTCAGGGCAACCAGGGGTGCCTGAGGAATGTCACATATATACCACGGGGGGGGGGAAGGGGGGGGTTGGGGTGTTAGCTTGTGCTTTGTCCTCAGCCTGCCTTCTGCTCCCTCATCACTTTGGCTTTAGAGGATCAAAGAACTTTATTGATATTTCCCTTAGTCTCACAAGATCCGTAGGTCTCTTTCTTCTTCACTATCTACATCCAGATGGTCAGAAATGATAGCAGATTCTATCTCATAAAAGCCTCCTATATCTGTCCCTGAATCTTCATCCTCATGACTCTTGACTATTTGACCCTACCTTTCTTGATTGCTTCAACACCTCCTAGCAGGTGTCCATCTTCTGTTGTCTTCCTATTCTGTCCACTCTGCATCTGCTGCCCTGGTCTTTCTAGACTACAAATCTGAATAGAGACCTCTTGCCTAAAACCTGCTGATTGCTTACCATTCCTATCTAATGATATATTATGGTGTTATAATAGACACATATGTAGTAATAAAGCCTGACTCATTAGCAGGGCACACTTGTCATTTCCTGTTCCCCACCTTCATTCCCCATCTCCCTGCCCTAGGATTCTGGCACTCTTTGTTCCAACAGTAGCTGATTATTTGGAATTCATAGATGCCCTTCCCCTTCTTGTCCATCTGCCATAAACTCATGTGTCCATTGTAAATGTTGCATCCTCTAAGAAGATTTCACAGACTGTCTCTTCTTCACCCTATCTCAACAGAGGCCACCATTCCCTCTTTGGTGCCACCACACTCCCTTAGGCACACCCCTACTTCCTTATGCCATGCCCTAATTACTAATGTATCTGTTACTGTTGGTAAGCTTTTTGAGGTCAGGGACTGTGTTGTATTCATGAATGAGTAATGGGTCATAAACTGGACAGTCACAAACTATTGAGAACAAAGAGGTAGCTTTCTTTTCAATAACTGAACTCAACTTTGTTCTTGAGCTCCCAGCCTGCCTAGCAGAGACAACTGATTTAATTCATTCTGTTAAACTTAGTCCAACTGAGTGATTTCTTTGGAAAGGGGCAAATTCTACTATTTATATCCTGTTTTCACAGTCCAGGTCAAAACTCAATCATGGCGGTAAAGACCCAGTATTTTTAGAACCTCATCTTTCCTCTTCCTCTTCCCTTTGTCCTGGGTGGCATCTGGATCTAGGTACAACAGATGTTCATGTAAAGCTATAGGAGTGAGGACAGGAGCCTTGAATTTTGTGGTGACCCCTAAGTCCCTATACTTTATGGCTTTGGTATCTCCCCATGTCCTTGGTCCTTGATACTCCTTCTTATCATGAGGTCCTCACTCTGTTGTCCTTGTCATTAAAATTCTAGTCTTATCCCTGTCCCCAAATGGAGCATAAAGTTCTGAATCTTCTGTAAGTCATGAATGAGCTGTAGGGAACTGTTAAAATCCCAGCCTTGGTCAGCCTCACCCTACCCTACTGCCATTTCTGTTCAACATGGACACCCCTTTGTTGGCATGAGGCTCCTATGAAAAGGTCTCCCCTTAGATTTACAAATGAAAAGAGGGTCATAAGAAATTGAAATTTCTATGATAATTGTGCCCTTATTTAGAACCCCTCAAGAGGGAGCATTGTCACTCCAATCTTTTTCTCTCAAGCTCTCCAAGCTCTATACCACCAGCTCCAGAAGGGCTTTTCTTTTTCTTGAGAACTTCCCTTCTGTCATGTCATGATCATCATTTGACTCTCGTCAGTTCTCCAGTATTTGTTCCTTGAAATACAGAATCTATTTAGGGGAGTTCTGGAAAATTATCTTTGTCTGTTGAAAGCTTAGCTTTTAATACAAATCATGGCACTGAAAATGCATTCATTGCCCAAGAGGATATTAGATTGAATACTGAATGTTATTTGCCCTTTTTGGGTCATGTAAAACATAATCATAATCAAGAGAATGTGGAATCCTTTGGAAGACATTACCCTGGTTCTCAGCCTTAGGGCCATCAGAATGATCCGTGTTGAATTACAAGTTATACCTGACATTGGTAGAGAGTAGATTCCAAGGACACTTTAATCACAAACTGATGGGACCATCGTAGTCTTCAATGCATTTCACTGCTTTTAGGGTCCCTCCTAAATCATTCCTGATAGTAATTTTATCATGTTTTAAAGATTGCTAATTCTGAATTAGATTTTTAATCACATATTATTACTTTTGAGCAATTTAAATGGTAAAAAATGGGCAGATTCAGTTCCAGATCATTTTGATTGTTAACGTGTATGCAAGGTATCTGCCATTTATGTAACAGGGAATGATACACACATCAAATAAAAACATCTACTCACCCTTTGATAAAACATTACAGATATTCATAATTAGAGTGAAATAGATCCTACTGTGTTATCTTGATAAAGAGTTGTCTTCTTTTAGGAAAGGTGCTAATCTATGTTCCCTCATATTTCCTTGTTTATGAAAAGCCAGTTGATTCAAGCAGCCACAACCCCGGGGAGCCCCCCACTGTTCACTAGTTAACTCTTTCCCAAATTTCAGGTAAAGTGCCAGGGGGAAACCTAGTCTAAAGTGGGGTCTTAACCTTATAAGAGAAAGGATGGCTCTGAGAATCTGAAGGAAGCTCTGAATTTTCTCAGCAGAAAAAATGCAAGATGCATATACAACATGCCGCCTACAATTTCAAGGTATTTACATGTCCTGCTCAAACCGATTAAGAACTTTTGATTTAAGACAGCATGTAGCAAGCCCAAACCTGCATATTGACTTCTACAGTTAGTAAAAATTATCCTTGAAAACCCTTAAATTTCCACAAAAGTATAGTATGCCTGGTTCACATAGTCTCAAATTTCAGTAATGTATAATATATAACAAAGAGCAAATATGCAAGATATACTTTTACAGTGTTTTTCATTACAGAAAAAAATAAGGGCATAAAGTTGCTCAATGCCCAGGGTTGAATATGAGAAGGTTAAACGCACAAATGAGGGAACTCCACCTCATAAATTTGACATGCAAATGGCAACTCTAGAAAGAGCTGCTGGTTGGGCTTCTGATGCCTGCAGTGCTAGCCCTGGAGACAGGAAGGTTTGAAATGAAATTTATTTCCTCCCAAGTATCAACGGCATCTTCTGGTCTTCTCTTATCCTTAAAATGCACGTGTATGTGTGTGTGTGTGTGTTTTTAAATAGACAATATTCATGTAAAATGAAGAATATCCAATAAATCACCATGATTACTCATATGCTTTCTCTTTCAAATGTCTAAATAATTTGTGCTTTTATTGACAGTCAACTTTTTGGACATGTACTTTCACTTATAAATCATCCCCCTGAATAAATACACACATATACCCTAGGTTTGACGGTATAATGTAAATTTGAAGTTTAATTATTCTGACCTGGAGTTTTATGATCTGTAAATTTACTACATCAGGTCAATAATCAGCTTTTCTTCTTAACGTCTTTTTCATTTTCTTTTGTATGTCCTGCTGAATCTCTCTCCTTGGCACCTCCTCTTGCAGTTGTGTAATGGGGGCTCAGTCACCGAACTTGTCAAAGGTCTACTCAGGTGTGGCCAGCATTTGGATGAAGCAATGATCTCATACATCTTATATGGGGCCCTCTTGGTAAGAACATCCATCAGGCTGGGGATGACATCAGAGGGGGCAATTTGTAATCAGTTGGATCACAACTGCATATTAACAAGTGGAAATGGCCCGGTAATATGCAAGGTGTATAACAGCAGGGAGGTATAGCCAAATGTGGACGTTGATTGGATTTTTAAAGGTAGGGTGATTGTTTTAAAATAACCATTCAAATTTCCCCTTTCTCTTTCCTGTTGTTTGGTGGTGGTGGGACACCATGCAGGGCCTTCAGCATTTGCACAATAACCGAATCATCCACCGTGATGTCAAGGGGAATAACATTCTACTGACAACAGAAGGAGGAGTTAAGCTCGTTGACTTTGGTAATGACTGCTTGTCGTTTGTTTTCTTGATGTGTGCAGTTTAGCCCAAGGCAACAATTTATTGCAGTCTCAGAAGACTGGGGCCTCTCTGCTATCCCATAGGCTGAGGGGCTTTTCCAGTCAAACACAGACTGGAGAGTGGGGGGTTTACCAGATGGATCACCCTAGGAGATGGTGTTTGTTAATCTATTTTCAGCTTTGAAGCAATTTTATTAAAGATAGAAAATAAAAGTGTTTCAAAAGAAGAATTTGATGGAAAAACTTGCTTTTCTGGGAAGAATTTCTATTCTCAGGGCTGTTGTCTATAATTTACATTTCATCATTTCTTCTTTTGCATATGAAAAGAGAAAGCAGTTTGGTCTTTCAAATGACTTTTTCTAGCCTCAGGCATACTTATTCCCAGTGAGCAGAAGGTAAAATAGTCCTTTGGGTCTGGCAGCTAACATCCCTTTAAATTGTGAATATTGCTGCTACATGTGAGGCTGGTTGAACTGGAAACATTAACAGGAAATGGAAATGTGAGAGGAAATGCAGAGCAATATCACCTAAGGCCAGAGACCTATTAAATATCTCCTTGCAACACTTATGTATTGATATTCACAAACCAACAAACCATTGGGTTTTCCTTTTTAAGTTTATTGAATGCTTTAGTCTTGTAAATGTGTTCAACAACAGTACTTCACTTTGATTGATACAAATAATGAGAAAGCATTTACAGAAGCACTTTTTAAAATGTTCTTCATAAATGTCAACATAGTAGGAGAAAAGATTGATGATTTTGAATATTCATTGTTTTATTGTTAAGAAAGAATTCAGTATTAAAATGTATTAGTGAATGATTTGCTTAGAAGAAATTACTCAAAAATAAATGAAGTTACTTTAGGTGTACTGGTTTATTTACTAAAAGAGCAAGCAAAGAAAAATAGCAGAGGGGGACTTTGTTCAAGTCTTATGCTCCTCCTTATTTATAAGGAATGGTATAACCCTATGAATGTGCTGTGGATAACATCAGAGATGTATTTTACACGTGGTCCCAAGGGCAGTCAATGTATTGTGAGGGGAAGAGCCTAGGAGGATGAGGATGGGGATTAATGCTGATTTATCTACTCACCAGCTTTGTGATTTGAAGTGAGTCTCCTAATCTTACCAGTAGAAGGCAGTTGCTGTAAAAGAAATTTCTAGAAATTAAAAACAGAAAAGCTTTTTTTTTTTTAACCAAAATTATAGCAGGGAATTTGGCAAAATAACAAATTATCCATGGCCAGTAGAGTTTAGAGAGCCCTCTTTGGATTTCTAATAAAGAGAATGCAAGTGTCCAGCAACCATCACCCCAAACAACCTGGGCCTTGGCAAAACTGTGCCTGATTCAGGTTTCTAAGTTCTCATCCTCAACAGCCTTAGTGGCAATGCTTGTGATTCTGTTAAGGGCTGCCTTAGATTTCTGCTCGGCATAAAAGAATACCTTATATTTGTAAAATATTTTACAATTTTTAAGTTATTTCACATTTGTTTTCTTATTTGATCTTTAAGAAGAACCCTTTGTGTTAGGTGTGACAGGTATCATTATCCCCAATTTGAGGATAAGAAAACTGAGGCTCAGAGTGAGGGTGTCTGCTTGAGGTCATACAATTAGGAAAAGGCATAATTGGGATGGAAAACAGGTCTTCTGACTCCTAATCCAGTGCATCTTTACTTCTACTTCATTCACTTGTTTTAAATGTATTTTTTTTAATTTCTTCATTCGAGACACAGAGATACAGAGAGAGAGAGAGAGAGAGAGCATGAGCAGGGCGAGAAGCAGAGGGAGGGGGAGAAGCAGGCTCCCCGCCGAGCAGGGAGCCCGATGTGGGCCTCGATCCCAGGACCCTGGGATCGTGACCTGAGCCAAAGGCAGACGCTTAACCATCTGAGCCACCCAGGTGCCCTACTTTATTCACTTGTATAAAGAAGAGAGCTGAAGACTTAAGATAGATAAAATACATTGGAATTACATTAAAATTCTGGTCCTCAACACTGAGCCCTAGATCATAATATTTTTCATCAGCTTCTTTTTCCATTTGACAAACATAGTTTTCTTGCCAGGTTTCCAGGCTTCTAGGTAAGATAAGGGACTAGAAACTTTTTATGTTTACACTGATGCTCTATTATAAATAATACATGCCGATTTTCTTCGTCCATAAAATGAAGCACCATTTTAAGAAAGAAATCACCTGAAATATTTGGAAATATAATAGGAAGATATTTTGGGTTTAGTTCTTGATATTTTCTTTTTTTTTTAAAGATTTATTTATGTATGTATGTATTTATTAGAAAGAGAGTACATAAGCGGGAGGGGCAGAGTAGAGGGAGAGAGAATCTCAAGCAGACTCCTCACTGAGCTCGGAGCTGGATGCAGGGCTCCATCTCATGACTCTGACATCATGACCTGAACCAAAACCAAGAGTCAGATGCTTAACCGACTGTGCCACCCAGGTCCCCCTTGATATTTTCTTTTTCTTTCTTTCTTTTTTTTTTTTTAAGATTTTATATATTTGACAGAGACAGCGAGAGCAGGAACACAAGCAGGGGGAGTGGGAGAGGGAGAGGGAGAAGCAGGCTTCCCACCGAGCAGAGAGCCCGATGCAGGGCTCGGGAGAGGGAGAGGGAGAAGCAGGCTTCCCACCGAGCAGAGAGCCCGATGCAGGGCTCAATCCCAGGACCCTGGGATCATGACCTGAGCTGAAGGCAGACGCTTAACGACTAAGCCACCCAGGTGCCCCGATGTTTTCTTTTAATTCCAATTCTGTAGCAATACGGGTAGGAATGTTCATTATGAAAAAAATATTCTAGTGATTTAGATAGAGAGGTAAGTGCTCCCACACAGTGACTGGCAAACTACAGTTTTGGCAAACTACAGGTCAACTGAATCTGACCTGCCTCCTCTTATATGACCTGTGAAAGAAAAGTGGATTCTACATTTTTAAATGATTGGGGAAAAAAATTCAAAAGAATATTTATGACATGTGAAAATTATATGTACCCATAAATAAATTTTTATGGAAACACAACCACACTCATTTGTTTCTGTGTTGTCCGTGCAGCTTTTTGCTCTCTAGTGGCAGTTATGATAGAGACTATATGGCTCTCGGCGTCTACTGACTATCTGACCCTTTATGGAAAAAGTTTGCCAGACTCTGGTTTAGCATCACCCTCTGTTCACTGCTGAATTATAGTACCCTTTTCTTACAGGTGTCTCCGCTCAACTCACCAGTACACGTCTACGGAGAAACACATCTGTTGGCACCCCATTCTGGATGGCTCCTGAGGTAATCAGAAGGCATTTATTTATGTTGTTGAGTGTGCTGGTACTATGCCTTTTTATGAGAAAATCATATGCTTCCCCAAATTTTCAGAACTGTTAAGTTCCGGTTTGGGGAGTGATAATGATGACACATAATCTGAGAAAAGCAGGATTAAGTCATAGCTAGCCTATAAGTTACCTTCATGCAGTTAGAAAAAGGTGTTCCCTCCAGAAGATGCAGCTCTCTCCACAGGTCGTGGCTTGGCAAGTTCACCCAGCCTTTGTGTAAGTTAGAAAAAGTCACCTTCCCTGGATAGGTGCAGCCCAGTGACACATGGATTGGTAAAGAGAAAGATTTCAGCTCCAGCCGGACTATGGCACTGTATGCAGAGGTCCTGGGTTTTTTTGTTGTTGTTGTTACCAGGTAGATAGCAACTTCTCTTGTGTGATTTTTTGGCTCTCTAGTAAAACCTGGGATTAGTTCTGGCATCGTCACAGAGGCCTCCATGAGATGAATCATGTAGAAGTTTGGGGAATTTTCCACCTAGATAAGGCATACCCTGAAACACTGATACAGCTTTGCTTGCCCTGTCAGCATTTAATTCCACAGTACTGGGGCCTGTGCCCTGAGCAGGTCTCTGGGATTAAGCAAATGGGCGCTTTTAATAACAGGACTGAGGCGTTCATCTCCTTAGAGGTCTTTCTATCTCCATTCTGACCCCATGGCTGTTCTTCCTCTATGTGACTGCACAGGTGAGCTCCTAACACAGCAGTCAGTTCACACCAATATGCTGAAAGTTTTTCAGTGGCTCACAATTCTCTATGGTCCTTTTTCATACTTGGGTTATGGACAGGCCCATTTTGGAGAAAAAGAAAAACCCTGCAGATTCCAGTGTTTACTTAAATCTTAAATGTTTCTTAAATAGGATTTAAAAAACATGAAACTAGTTCTGCCTTATGTTTATAAACTTCTGCCTTATGTTTATAGAACTATAAAACTAAAAGGAAAAAAATGTGTTATGAAAAAGCTACAGAGCCAGTATCATTCAAATAAACACCTTTAATATAATGAGACAGATGACACTGTTTTATGAAACTCAGTTGTCCTTTGCAGTATGAATATGTTTCAGAGCATGACAGCATGTATTATTTTGAGTTATTTTGTCCTACTTATTACCATGTACCATGTGGTGACCCCGTTCTCCCACCACTTTACTCAATTTCAGCTAGGGTGATCTTCGTTCAAACAACATCTTCTTTGGTCTCTAACTGGTACATCTCTGTTGGCTTATGCCGACTTAATAGTAAACATAAATAGGGGCACTGAAATTGTGAGGCAAATGGTCATCCAGATGATTTGGAATATGTTTTTATCACTGTTCCTCCCATTTGATTACTAATAAAATTATTATTGCAACAAAAACATAAAAATTTTCGTAGAGACCTTGTGAACCCCACTTTGAGAAACACTGTAGGACAGAATCAAAACTCCTTTGGAAGGTGAACAAAGCCCTTCATATTCCAGCCCGTATCTACCTATCCACCTTCTTCTCAGGTTACTGTTTCCCAATTTACTTGTTCTTAAGCCTCAAGAGTAGTGAACAACAAGTTCACCCCAAATCCATGTTGATACAGCATTCCTTTAAACCCTTCCATGCATTGTTATATCTTCTGGAGTAGCCCTCAGAACTCTGACACGTTCCTCCTCAGTCTTCAGGTCTCAGCTCAGATGCACCTGTCTCCGGTACGAAACCTTCCCTAATGCCTGGCTGACACTGAGGCTCGTGTCCTTAAGTTTCTGTTGCAGCCTTTACAGCCTCCATTAGCACACTGTGATCATCCCATTGTAGTTGTCAGCGGGTCCTATGATGTCCAACTCTCAACATAGTGCTTGATACAGAGTAGGTGCTCAGTAAACTTCTGTCGGATGAATGAATCCATTGGTAAAAAAAAAAAAAAAAAGCCAAAGGAGATGATGCATTTGAAGGGCAGTTTGCAGAGGCTTTATAACTACTGGTATCAACAAATTTCTCTGTAGATTTTGATTGATCTGTTATTAAAGAATAACTGAGGCCACTCAGCGCATATTTAGGATGACATAACACCGAAGATGGTGTTCTTCTTCTAACCCACAGCAAGCTAGTGTTCCCACAATCACAAAACGTAAATAAGAGAAGCCTGCCCTTGGCTTTCTACATTTCTCATGCGGTGTGTGTGACTTTTCAGTTTCAGCTGGGTTGAATAAGATATGTGGAATGTTTCTAGAAGGGGCAGTATAGTGATCTGTGGTGAGCCTGTGTTGCCCATATTGTCTGGAACTGGTTGTGTTCTCAGCAGGGAAAAGCCAGCATGGCATCCTACCTGCTCTAGTGGTTAAGTTGAGGAGTAGGCAGATGGCCGTGTGGAGACCTTGACCGTGCCTTTCAGCAGCAAGTGCCTGGTGGCTCATGCCTGCCTCATAGATTCTCTCAGGATGCCTGCTTGTGGCAGGGCTATGCGGTCAGTCCCGGGCTGCAGTTCTTGGCGCTCAAGCCTACACAGTCCTCATGTTTTTATGTTCTAAATGGAGAATTACTCTTTCCAACAAAGCTTCTTTTTTGCTTCATAATTCTGCGTAAGAATGTCCACAGGAACAGCTTTCCATTTGCCCGGCCGATTCCACAAACATTTGTACTCTCCCTGGCGAGCAAAGCTTTGGGTTAAGAGCAGTTCTTGAAAGTATAATCAGCAGTGGTTCAAATGAACATTGCCTTCATGTGACAGCCTGCGTAGTATATTGATCTTAATATGCTTTTGCTTCTCTAGTGTGAATAAGCGGTGTTTAGATTAAACATGACAACAATGCATGCAGTGCCTTTACCAGTGGCATGAAATCCTTGCAGGTGACCGGGGCTTTTATTTTGAAAATGCAGCTGAAGGATCCTTGATCCTATTTAATTTTGAGAAATGGAACCCAATTATTCTTTCCACAATTTTATTTCCATTTTTATTTCGCCAGCTTGAGTAACTTCAATATTTAATTCGAGTAGGCTATACTACAAACCAGGTAGCTAATGGAATGTGACCACACCACAATCAAATGTTGATGAACAGTCCAAATGCACAGTTCACTGGGGCAGCTCAAAGCTGCGGCAGGCATTGACTCTCAGATTGTCAACACTCTCCACTTATTTCCTCTCACTGCCTCATCTGGATATGACTGAAGTTGAAAAATACTGGGTAAAAGCAGTATCAACTCAGCAAAAGAGAAGAAGAAGAATTCTAGGGGTGCCCTTAAGTGTGATAGTACTTCATACTATGACTTAGGGAAGACAAGAGGGAAAGAAAAACACTCAACATAGAAACTATGTGTTTAACAGATTACCCTGAGCAAAATGACTTAAACAGTAGGAAATTAAGCTTCTCGCGTAAGGACAGACGTGGGGAGTTGCAGAGTTTGTTGGTTCAGCAGCTACGTGAAGCCATCAAAAATCCCGGCTGTGCCTGCTGCGACCTGCATGGCTTTGTAGGTAGGGGCTGACTTGGGGGGCAGTCTTGCCTGTGAATATCTGAGGGGCAGTAGTGGCTCCAGTATTGCAGTAGCCACCAGTGAAAGTACCCTTGGTACAAACAGACGCCCCCCTTTACTTCCATGAGGCTGATCTTGTGTTGAAGAAGTTAAAGAGGGTTCTCCTCCTGTCCTGGGGTCAAAGGCTGTCTGCTCCATATTCGTTTTCTAGGACTGCCATAACAAAGTAATACAAAATCTGTGGCTTAAAACAACGGAAATTTATTATCTCCCAGTTCTGGAGGCTAGAAGTCCAAAATCAGGGCATCAGCAGGGCTTCGCTTCCTCTGAAGCCTCCAAGATCCTTTCTCGTTTCTTCCTAGCTTCTGGTGGTTTGCTGGCAGTCTTCAGTATTCTTTGGCCTCCAGTACCTGCCTTTGTAGTCACAAGGCCCTCTCCCTCTGTGTCTCTGCCTTAACATGGGTATCTCCTCATAAGGACGCCAGTCACATTGGATTGGGGACCCACCCTGCTCCAGTATGACCTCACCTTGACTCAACTAATTACATCTATAGCAACCCTATTTCCAAATAAGTTTTCATTCTGAGGTTCTGAGGGTTAGCACTTCAACATATTTTTTTTGGAGGATACAACTCAACCCATAACAGCCCTCCAAATTCTTAACACCCCTCCTGTAGTAAATAATTCAAGTTTCCAGGATAATCAGCCACTCTTTTGGGATCTACAGGTCTGCATGTTAGAGGAGCTAGCTTAGAGAGCTCAGCTTTGGCTCTCTGCGCGCGCACACACACACACACACATGCTCGCGCACACACACTGTTCTCTCACAGCCTCAGGTGTTTAAGGCAAACACAGTTCTTTCTGGATGTACTAAGCATAACAAATTGCCTTCCCACCTGGGTACTCAGCATCTTCAGAATTTTGTTCTGTCCTACCTGATCTCTAGCCAAGCATTTTTTTTTTATTATCTCCTGAGATGTTTGACTCAGGTTACCTCCTTCAACCCTCCGTTTACATTGAACTTCTGGTCTCCCTGCCTCTTATTTTAGCCTATATCTTAGACATATATATATATATGTATGTATGTATATATTTAACACAGTCTTCCTATTAGCTATGTTTATTGTCTCTTTTCTACTCTACTGTTTCCTGACAGCCAATTTCTTATAATAAATATTATGCATAATAGTATCTCACATTTGCATGGAACTTTTACAGGTATTATTTTTTAAGTGCTCACACCTATCTGTGAGGATGTCAGTTAGGCATGAGTACATGACTTAATAGATAAGGTATCCAAGGTTCTGCCAGGCTAAGTGCTCAGGGACACTGACTGGGTAGGTGGGTAACGGTGACTAGAATCTATATTTTGTGACCCACTGAACTAGAAGATTTCCAATACAACCCATGTCCACTGTCAGTGTTGGTATTGCTCAGCTAGTATTTGTATCACTTACTTGCCTGGTAATATCCTGGTCTATAACAAAATGGGATACAGGCCTACTTTATGTGTATTG